GTGTGTGTGTGTGTTTATGTACCTGCGGGAAGACTTGTGGCGTCCCTCCTCTTTCTCTCGGTGCCGCCTCTCTCTGTGTCTTTCCTCTTTCTCTCGACTCGTCCGGTCACGATGTCGCTCTCCATAACCCCGTTCCTGGTAGTCACGGTAACGATACCGCTCCTCGTCACTGGAAGTTGACAACAAGAGGTTGCATTTTATTACGTTTGTTACGTTTGCATGGATACCAAGCAAGCCCATTCTGTGGTAAAAATGTGCATATAAATATATGTTTATATTTATATTTATATTTATGTCCCTCTCACCTGGTGTAGCTCATAGCTGAAGGGCTGTGCTCCCTCTCTCTCTCCCGTTCATGCGTCCTCTCTCTGGGCCGTTCTCTCTCCTTTTCTCTCTTGTCGTCTCTACGAGGATAGTAGTCCCAGGGTTTAGAGTTGTCCATCAGTGGGGGCCACGGAGGCGGCACACCTCCAGCCATGGGTGGAGGGTAAGCACCTGAAAAAGGTAAAGAGGAAGGGAGCCAAAGATTTTATCACTTTGTGTTCAAATGTTTCCTAGAAATTACACTTTGTTCAAATCCATGATTGATCTGTCCGATGATATTGTCAGCAGGTGATGAACATAAATGTGTTTCTAACAACAATCAATGATATGAATTGTTGGGAATGTACATTCGCTTCAATCTGTCAAATTATCCTTGTTTGCCCAATTTTAAAACACATTTCAGTTACCTATTCCTATATATATATCTCACAACAGATCTCTAACCAATAAGTTCTGACAGTTGTTGTGTTTCTGTGGTTTACCAGATAACGTTGTAAAGCTTCCTACCTTGAGGAAACGGATAGGGAGGAACAGAGCGTCCATCATAACCTCCAGGGTGGCCACTGTGGAAACATTAGAAAGGCAACATGTTACAGTGTGTGTGTGTGTGTGTGTGTGTGTGTAGCAGTTTACATGGCTGTACGGAAACTGTCTACATAGACAGAGAATTAACGGTGTTTGATAAATTAATTCAATGCTGCCAAGGTTTCTGAACACAGGTTGTAAGGAGTTCGGTCTAGACCTGCTCTATTTGAAAAGTGTCCTGAGAATAATTTCTGTTATGAATTGGCGCT